TCCAGTCGTGGGGCCTGAACTCTGGGCCTGGGCACTGTCCCTCAGCTCTTCAGCTCAAGGCTAGCGCTCTACCACTTGAGCCACAGCGCCACTTATGGCTTTTTTCTTTTTTGCTTATGTGGTGCTGAGGAATCGAACCCAGGGCCTCATGCATGCAAGGCAAGCGCTTTACCACTGAGCCACCTTCCCAGCCCGGCTTCTCTGTTTTCTTATGACTAGATTTGTATCTGATTCACCTTACAACTTTTCCAGACCATGATTAGCTCATTCTGCTGCTTTTTGCCTATGGCAAGGCAGTATACCATGGCTGGAAGTGTGTGGCAAAGTAAATCCTTTTACCTCATGGCTCCAATGCAAAAGATAGAAGAGAAAGAGACATGGGTTTCACAATCCTCTTAAAAATCACACCTTTAAATAGCCAAAAGACCTCTCACTTGGCTCCACTTCTTAAAAGTTCCTCCACTTCCTACTAGCAAGATCAGATGGAGACTAAGCCTTTAAGAGATGGGATTCTGGGGACATTTTAGATCCAAATGAGAGCAATCTCTAAATCATGCAAATTTGCTCCTTCATAGCTATAACTAACAATAATCTTTTGAGGTAAAGATTACAAAAGGGATGCCATTGATCAAGATGTATTGTATTCATAAATTATTTTGTTAAATGGCAGTTCCTTTGTGCCATTAAGATAATTTTTAAAAAGAAATGAGGATTTACACAAAAAATATTTCTATACTCCATGATTCTGCCTAGCAGGAAAGAGGAAGCCCTGACATAAGATACCAAGAAACTTTAGAGTCTACAAGTTGGTGAATAATCATTAAGAAATGTTTCTGATTAGTAATGGCAAACAAACACTAGTTTCTTCTATAACTTGTCCATTATCATATAATAGTAGTTAACCCTAAATAAGCTGCTAGACACTGTTCCACATGTTATATGAATTAAATTTTTTATTCTCACAACAAACTTTGAGGCTAAAAACTTTGGACTCATCCTTGCTTCTTCCTTCTTTTTACCTCATATCCAATCCATTGGCAAGTCTCAAAATGGACTCTGAATTCCATAACTTCTCAATAACTTCACTGTAACAATTCTGATAAGCAACCACTTATTGTGGATCTCCTTTATTCTTTTAATTGCCCCATACTAGTGAATTCTCAGCCTAAAAGCCAAAGTAGTCCTTTGAAAATATGAATCTGCCCGGATGCCTCTAATACTAGCTACTCAGGAGGCTGAGATATGAAGATGAGGATTTGAATCTATCCCAGGGAAGGAAAGTCTGTGAAACTATTATCTCCAATTAACCAGAAAAAAGGCCAAAAGTAGAGCTGTGACTCAAACAGTAGAGCACCAGCCTTAACTGAAAAAGATAAGAGACAGCACCTAAGCCCTGAGTTTAAGTCCCAATACCAACATGAAGAAAAAAAAAGAAAAAGAAAGAGAAGGAAGGAAGGAAGGAAGGAAAGAAGGAAGGAAGGAAGGAAAAAAACTGTTTCCAAAATATCCTACTGGCTGTCTTCTTGTACCTAGAAAAATGCAAACTCCTTAACTACAATTAATCCTACTCTATGCCATATATGTGTCCATATATCTCTGATTTCATCTATGACTATTTCCATACACAATTATCATAGCTTCCTTGCTGTTTCTCCTAAAACTCAAAGCATGATCCAGGTTGTATCATTGTGGTTGTTTGTCCTTCAAC